TACAAAACATAGAAGTAGTTACGACCACTTGCAATGAATAATAGAGAGACCCGAGGAAAACTGGCAGGTGCGTTATGGGAACGTGACTAAAATCGATACTAAAAGTTCCTCGAACTATCGATTTTGTTTTCTACACTCGAGTGTAAGTAAAAACGATAATAAAGAAAAATTTCTACAATATGATTCTGAAAAAAAAGATGTTAAAAAAAGAAATGGAAAACCTGAAGTTTTTGTTTTGGGCAACTGACGCAAATTTCAAATCTCAGCTCAAAAATCTCCAATTAAATCAGCAATTCTTCATGAAATTAAAAAATAAGAAGTCGAATTTGTTCTCCTTCCTAATTCTTCGAAGGTTATTTATCATGACGAACGCTACATTTGAGACTAGTTTAAGGCTAAACCCATTTCAATTACATTGACATATGTTATTCAGACGCTGTAATAATCGAAAACCACTGCCAGAAAATTAAAAATCGAATACGAATGAAAAAATAAATACCGAGATGTGAAAATTTTAAAAATTTTCAACAGAAAACTTTTAAACTGAGGAATAAAAAATAGGGATTGCTGATTTAAAAAAGTCGAAAAATATGAAATCTCCACAAAAAAATGGAAATTTACAAACTCCGATGAAAAAAATGTGATTAAAAAAAGGAAAATGAAACCAAAAAAACAAAATTCGCTGAATTATATAGAAACTGGAGCCAAGCACGTATGGAAAAATCGTATAGAAATTTTCTATACGGATTGCGTATAGAATTTCTATAGTATATTCGTATATGATATTCGGATATTTCTATACGGATATTTTTTATACAGATTATTTCTATACGATTTCTAGAGTTTGATCCTATACGACTCACTGTAACATGTATAGAAACGTTTCGTATAGAGTTGCGACATTTCTCTACGTTTTTGATAATTTTTAAACTTATCCTAAATGTAGAGCTACTTTAACCAATTTACTAATCTCTCGATATAATGAAAAAATAACGTTTAAAAATTCAGGAGATGCCCCAGATTCTGACCCTTACGGTGACCCAGAACAGAAAAGCTAAAATCGTATGAAAACTACGACACAAGGAGCATTTTGAAGGTAAAAACTGGAAAAAATGATTTTTCGTGGTTATACGGGGCAAAATCGATGGGGTCCGCGATTTACCCCAGTTATTCCCATATTCGGTCATATGTCACAAACTGGTCAGTGGATCCCAAGGCCCAGTGAAGACTTTCAAATTTCACTGGCGTGTCCCCTTAAGTTGGTCTAAGTACCCAATGATATTTTTACTATAGTGGCTTATCATTCAGACTGAACATTTTCCACTGTAATACCACAAAAGGTTCATCACGACCTAAATAACAGGTACCTTCATTTACCTGCTACTAATTTAAATCAAATACTCTATAATACATGAAAATCAAGAAAATAACCGACGTATGATATGCTCTTAATACTAAACTTGTAAGTTCTAATATTCATATTTTTTTAGTTATTTATTTGACGACTTCATCCTAGAATTTGTATGTTGATAAATAAACATTATAAAGACAAACAGGGTTGCGAACCTATTCGACAGAAGTAATGTAACCGTTACTTTATGCGTTATTGGTCTTTTTTATTTCGCTCTCTACCAATTCTATTGGCAATATGCTTCCGAATGGATATGTAGTAATGGTTCTAGGATAAATGTTCCCCTGAAAATCGCTCTTAGAAAATTGTTCCTCGGAATAATGTTTCCCATATTTTCTTTTTCTATGCCGATTCCCGTTTTCATTGTTATTTGATCAATCATTATATAATATAAAATAGAAAATTACATCCATTTTTATTACATGACTTTTTACGTTATTCTGAGGTTTTTTAAGTTATTCTCACCTGTAAGATTACCATGTGCGTAACCGAAGCCTCGTTTACACCCAAAACCGTCTTCACAGATGTCGAGAATAAGCTCCCAAAGACGAAAATAATCGATAAAGTGACGATGTGTGATTTTTTAGAAAAAAAGATTCTTGGATGAAGTGCTCAATACTAGGATGTATTGAATCGATCGACACAAAATTTTTTCAATAATACTATTTAGTAGCCGGAATCTTAAATGTTTATTCCAAGTTTTACGCGTGTAATGGAACGCCACATTAACTCTCAATTTAAAAACGCCAGTAGCTCGAAAAGTTCATATGAATGAGTATTCATATTTTCATTGATCTTGATAGGGGATGGTAAACCATTTTACTTTATTTTGAAAAAATAAAGTAAAATTAATCAGACCAATAATTGAGAGATTTTGAACAAAACTGTTTTTCACAAAAATTTCAATATCTTCTAAACCGTTTGCCCCATATCGTCTACCCACAATCTTATTTTGTAATATCATAAGAGTTATATTTCTCATAAAATTTTAACATTCTATCAAAATTTTTTCGGGAGTTATAACACAGAATGATTTTCTCATAAAAACGAAAAATATTGCGAGTTGATTTGATAGATATTATCACAAGGAATATTTTGACGACAAAAAAATTCAATTGTGTCACGTAGTTTTCGAGATATTGAAGAAAAAAACTGTTGAGAAGTTGGTGTATCTCGGAAACTACTTTGACCGATTGGGCTGAAATCGCACCTAGAAATGCTCCACCAGCTATGTGACGAAATTTCAGATTTTCAGCTTCAATAGTGCTTTATCTGTGAAGATTTATAAAAATTAGATCAGTGCGCGCGCTTTCGCGCGGGCTCATCTTTTTGTTGTGAGAATGAAGAAATCAAATTTATTAAACTTCATATACTCATAGATGTTTTATAAATATTGATAATGACTTGAAGTTGAGAGAGTGAAGAGTAACACATCAATGAATAATTTTTAATCTTCGATTAGATATTTTTTTTTACTTTTTAAAATAATCTGATTAAAATCTGTAATTGTTGAAAAATGAGGAGAGGGTTATGAATTGATTTCCTAGAAAACTGAAAAAATTTCATGAATTCGGAAAATTTCACAGTTTTCCAGATAACTGTAGATCTTCAAAGATTTTTCTCGAATTATTTGGGAAACCGAAGAATTTTCATGAATTTTGTAGAGTTCAGAATTTATGTATGAAAATCTGAGAAGCAAGAATTGATTATTTTGATAAATATGAAAAAATTAAAATTTGGGAAGTGAAGAATAATTTGTGAGTTAAAAAAATTTAGAAATACTATGTTTTTTTCTCATGATCAACAATTAGGCAATTTAGATATGTTTTGATACAAAGATAAACTTCACACATGGAAAAATGATAAATATGACGCAGAAAAAATTTTCGGCTTTTGAAGAATTTGAAAATACCGGGGATTTTTGTCAGCGACTACTTCGCGTGATTCATTGACCAATCAGAATTGAGGATTAGCGGTCAGGCAGTTTCGAGATATTTCGATATAAAACAACTCCACGTGTCTTTCATCTTTAGTAAATAATAGGATTATAATCCGGACGTAGGGTGGACAGGCGATTTGCTGGACGGTCAAGGCAAATTCGAGTTTCGTAGTAGGATCTAAAATAAAATAATCACCTAAATGGGAATATAATGGCTTCCATACATTCAAGAATTTTTTAATTAGCAGAAAAAATTATTTGAAGTGAAAATAACGAAACAATGAATAATTAAATTAAGAAATAGTTGAATGCAGCCGAAACCCCTAAATTCTGGACTACTGGGCCATATTTTTTTATTTATTAAATGTCGATCAATAGAAAAAATAATTGATCACATAATTATACACGAGGAGTATTATTGAAAGGTGGAATTGGGCAGGTTTTTCCCTGAAGTGAGGTTTTCCCTTGTCCTTCGGCGAATGCGGGGCGG